AAAGAAAACTGCCAAAGGTTATTTTTGTTAAAATATTTCTGCAACGTATACAAAGGAATATTAATTATAATTCATAGGTAGTACATTTAATAAAATTATAATATACTTTAAGGTCATTTTATCTAACATTTTCTCATCAATATTTGCACGTTGAATATAATAGTTATAATCATAATTATTTTAAATTATCCATTAATTAATTTGTTTAATTGGCCCAAACGCTGAATAATAACCGGATTTTTACCAAGCGCTTGTTGTTATATTATTTAATTCATTCGAGTTGTTAACTACATGTTGTAATAAGCAGCCACAAAAACATTTAAATTAGTTTAAAATAAACCAAAATTTATTTAAGACTTAAGGTAATTAACTTAGGTAATACTATAATTCAATCATAATTGTATTCAAGATTATTTTTGTTGAATCATGTGGTTTAAATTTTAATAAATAATTATATGCTGTCAATATTATATGACTATTTACAATTTTATATTCCTCCATAAATAATCATAAAACCCAATTTACAGTCTATTTTAGTTTTATTTCTGAAATCTGAATATTATACTCCTTAATATATAAAACGCAATTCTTATTAGTATTGTCAAGAATAAAATAACAATTTTTGCCAAAAACAGAAAAACCTTGAATTTAACATTAAAATTGTTTCTATTATCAAATCAGAGAAAATCGTAAGAAATAAAATATTCTGATAATAAGATACAATGTGCTAAAGCAACAATATTTGAAACACCATGATTTCAGAATAAAAAGAATTAGCTGCTTAAATTTGAATTAGTAACCTACAATAATTAGATTTTTTTGCAATATTAGAAAATTTAAATCGGTTGAAAACTCAACAAGCTCTTCTTGTTTAGAATATAATTACCAACAAAATTGTTAATCGATGTATACGCACGAAATGGAAAAAATGGTATTTTACATTTTATGGGTTACTCAATATATTTTGTAAAAATTAAAATCAGCGGAAATATCTCTATATGATTACAGCCCAAACGTGTATTTTGTTCAGCAAATTACGAAAAGGATGCGTGTAACCTCATCAGCGTTATAATCACAATAATAATGTGCCGTACACGAGAAAATGAACACATACAACAACGTATAGGTACTAGGTACAGTTTGTAATATGCAATATACACGCATTTAATGTGTGTGCAACTTGTATTTATGTTCCAGCTATTCGCGGCCAAGATTGTGTAAGAAACGATCCTAAGGAGTTCAGTGATTCGTGTAGCCGAACCACCAGCGTGTGCCCTTGACATCGGCCAAGTTGAACGTCCGGAGGACGACGCTCGTCAACGTCTTCAGCCGCCGCCGCTGCCCACCCGCCAAGCCCGACGGACCACCCCTCCTACTTCACACATACGTACACATAATATACGTTACTATAATATATATATATATATTTATGTGTGTGTGTATAACATACATATATATATATTACAAATACGAATAGAGGTGCCCCCGCCAACCATCACCCCTCTTGCCATTATGAGTAAGACGAGACATTATAGTTAGATACTAACATGTATACGCGGAGGTACTATAATTTTCGGAGAAGAAAAAAATATAAATGGCGAATTACTAAAATTGCGATTACATTGCAATCACCGTCGGCCATCGTCGTCGTCTTGTGGCTACCATTCGTTTATTATTATGCAATTTTTTTTTCAATCTTTTTTTCTTCTCGCAAAAAGGTTAACGAACCAAAAGAAAATCTACCGTGCCGGAAAACCGGTTTCCGCCGCGAGGCACACACGCGCGCACGACAGCGGTCTTGGCCAGCCGACCGACCGGTGGTCGACGTAAATGGCCCGTGGCCGAGAAGTAAGAAAGCACACACACGAAAGCTTGACGAAATAATAGTACACAACGGGGCAACGGTGGGATACACACATTATGCTCATGCGGTCAAAATGACTATATAACTAAACAAATAATGTGATAGCTCCGAAATTATTATATCGCCTTCAAAACTCCCGGTTAAAATTGATTTTCGACAATGTGCAATTTCAATATGGTCTTCATTTGTGTACGCACCTTAACAATCGACACATTATTTGATAATGATCTAAATAATAATCTAAACATTAATAATGTTGAGATTTTAAAGTTATTTTATCGATATGCTTAGTAAAATAGTAAATAATAAATACTAAGTTAGATTATCTAATCAATTTGTATACAATTTATTAATAACAAGTCATATTATATTGGACTACACCTACACGTAACATGACGAATTTTTATTCCAGATAATCTTTGTTTTAGTATAAGTTGACCTTTTATGAAACTAAAGACTACGACATTAAAATTAAGGTTAATTTGATCTTAATTAATTATAGTTATTTTGAATTGTATTTATTGTTATCAAGTTCATAAAATATGCATATTAATAAATCTACTTTATTTTGGTGACAAATAGGTACCTACAAAAATTAAATCTACATATTTTTAAAAATGTGTTGTGATAATTTTAATACTATCCATTAAATATGATTAATAAAATTAAAATTGAATAAAAAGAACGGGTTTGATTTTTTGGGTTTTAGCATCGTTAAGATCGTTGCACTCTTACATCAAGGTTATTTGCCTCTTTATTTTATTATTTTCCTTGCATATTATGCACTCGTGTGAAGTGTACGTACACATTAAAATGTTTTTAACGTAATATAGTGAAGTAATGAATCATAATCTTATAAAAAATGAAACAGAATAAATAAACGTCAAAGAAATAATTTTCAAATTTTTTTGGAAAAAAATGTAATTGAATACCTATGGACTCCTTAGAATACTTGAATTGTGTAATAATAAATTATTAGGTATACTGAACATAACTGACGTTGTATAAATAAAATGCAATTATACATTCGAACTACGAACTACCCATGGCATACGAATATGATTGATATATTTCAACATTCAATTATTATGATTATAAGTTATAAATGTTATAATGTTTATTTTATTTTTGGTTAGTAAAACAAAACATAGAGCTTTTATCAGTTATATTAATAGAGCAAGTTACGATTTATAGTTATATATAGTAATGAATTAAAGGAAATTATCTTTTATGACCGGAGAGCAATAATGTATTAACAATCAAATGCATTAATCTTATAAATGATAAAATAAAAATAATTTTACCAAAGAAATTAGGTTTAACAAAACAAATTTTTATTAATAAAAACATAAGGAAACCTTAACTAACACGTACTCCAAATTGTATTTAATACTGAATTTAGGCATTAAGAATTTAATTTAATTAATAAATATATATAAATAAAAAGTATATAATAAGTAGATATAAAATCTTAATTCATTTATCAAACTCGTTTACAGTAATTATGTTTTACTAGATAATAAAAAAGTAGGCAACTTAGTATAGAAGGAAGCAATTTTTGTTGCCTATATTTGTTTATGATGTCTATCGACTATCAGTGGTAAGACCCAACCATACCACATTAAGGAGTTTGTCCACCTTGTGGAAGCTGTGTTTCCACTTTTATCCCACATTCACGAAAATTCAATATTTTAAATTTTTATGTAGGCAAATTAATTTTTTTCTATGTATATTAAATGATTTTATCCTTGAGATGGTAACCACTGCCCACTTTTATTATAATCATAAATCCTTAATATTTTTGTTTTAACTTTCAAGCATTATGATTTGAGTTTTTATTTTAAAATAAGGATAAATAAATGTTACATCGAAGCTTAATGTAATTTTGGTTACTAAATGTTTACAAAGGATTTGTTTGAGAAATATCACGTATTTAATTCTGTAATACCTATGTTAATTGTTAATACATAGGTCTAATTAATATCCAATATTTCAATATTTTTTCAGGTACAAAAGAATTTGGTACCTATTAAAATAACAAAAATGTTTACATGGTCTGTACAAATGTATTAAATGTTATAATGCAACTAATAAATAGTATTTAGAAATTATTTTAGATTTTTCTTTATAAAAAGTATCTTATATAATACGATAAGGAAGTACAAACTATACAATTCAATCTATTTATATTTAATTTGTATTTCACCTATTGAAAATTGTCTTAATTATAAATACACATGTTATGATTTAATTTAATAATTAACAACCATTTTGAATATTGTTCAATTTGAATGATACTAGTAATGAAAAAAGGTCTGATCTCTACTATTACAACTTAAAAATTATGCGACCTATTAAATAAAATAGTAATTTTGTATTAAGTAAAAGGAGATCGACAAGCATATCATCTGCTCAGCATACAAGAAAAAAAATGTTAAGATACAAGCATGAATGTATCATGAATATCTAGATTATTTCATTACTAATAAGTTTTATATACCAACCTATCAATAACATAATATTTGTAATGATTATATAGTAATAGAAATTTAAGGTATATTTTCATGCAATAAATTGTTATCAGAATACCAAAATTAATTAAGCTTCTTTTTATGTATCGAATGATGCCCTCCATGGACAGAGACCGCCTCATTCCGACAGTTAAAAACATAGCTAAAACCCAATATAAACGTTTCTACCTTTAACTTTCAAACCACCAAAACCTCTCTTTTCGAACAATTCCGGGTGACCCTGGCCGACGTTTAAAGTGTACCAGTTTGAGAACCGCTGCGTTAGATCATATTCTTGCCCCTCCAAATTTTATAAGAGGTAAATTTACTCTAATTTAAGGAACTAAAGAGTAAAATGTATTTTTGTGAACGTACAATTTGCTATGCTGTACATTTGTAAGACAGAGACAACAAATGCCCATGTGGCAGCCTCTTAATAAAATTATTTATTTGATTAAATCCACAATCAATATAATAGAAATGTATTATTTCATAAACATTTTTTTTAATGTACTAAATTAGAAATATATAGTAACAATAATACTGTATGAATAAAGCTAATTTGATAAAATAAGATTTTCATTAAATGAAAAAAAGGATAAAGGAATTATTAAGTATAAACATACCTTAAATGACAAGTGTTTACAGGTGAACATTTAATAACTGCATCTAAGAAATCTTTTTCCATGAAAATTGATCCATTGCTTCTTTAAGCTAGAAAAAAATACATTCTTAATTTTTTGTTACAAATATAAACCATATGTTACAAGACACAGTAATCAAAATATATCAGAAATAAGAGGGGGGGGGAGAATATCATTTGAAAAAACCAAGAACCAACATAATTAATTGAAATAATTAACATAAATATATGTAAATATATATATATAATAATATTATATTATTATATTATATTATAATATATATAATTATATATATAATACAGTTACATATGTAAAATGTCATCTCAAAGATCATGTATTGTCAGAAAAAATATTTTGTTATTTACAAATAAAAAAATTACTATCATTGCATACTTGCCAAGGGGATGACAAGTCACCCCATTGCACCCTTCATGCAAAACAATGCATAAACTACATTATATTATAATATACAGACACGAGACATTATAAACCATCACTCTTCAATATGATTTTATGAATATTTCAAAAATTTGTTATGCATTAATGAACTAAAATATAAAGTTTGACCAATTTTTTTTTTAGCCCCTACCTCTCCCCGTTTAATATTCTGGTTGTTAGAAGTTACAAAGAACTGATAGTTATTAGCTTATAACTATAATACACAAATTAAATTGTATTATGATTGAAATATGCATGTGAAATAAATCTTACATCTACTTATGACACACTAAATTTATAATAAAGATTTCTAATATACTTTGGTTGTTTACGATATCAGAGTAATTTAATTTATATCTCTTGTTGATTTATTTTTTATTTATATTTTAAAATGCATCATATAATAATAAATTAACTCAAAATAATATCTACATCTCACTGAATCATTTAAATCAGTGTTTCCTAACCGGTGGTCCGCGGTACCATAGATTTTTTTTTTCGATTTCTATTACAAATAATAGTTTTTTTTTTTAAGTAGCGAAAAACATTACGACTAATCAAGGAACATACTAGAAATTTTTGTTAATAACTAAAAATGAAAAAAAGTTTTTGTAAAATCGAGGTAGTTCGCGACCTATAAAATATTGTCAAAGTGGTCCATGGTGGTAAAAAAGTTGGGAAACACTGACTTAAATAAATTAATTTTATATTGAACACAATATGTGCCAGTATGGGTATGTAATGCCCTATGAAATAAACTAACTGAATATGCACCCATTATCAAAATAATAAAATTGAGTCTATGTATGGTATTTAAGTTTAAATAATATTTATTTATTCTAACTATTTAAACTTTAAAAATTTAAACACTAAAACAAAAATTACAGTATTTTTATGATATACCTATATGAATGGCTACCACTTATAATTAATTTAATTGAACTGGTATGGATCAGTGGTCATATACAATCGGTCCCAATAAATTAGTTACAGATGACAATCTATGGGCTGTGACATTTGTATGTGTGCCTAACATGACTTTAAACAGTTATCATTCAACTGTAGCCGAGAGTGAGGAACTACTAAATAAAATATCATTATTTAAATGTTTATGTTATGAACTAATGCACTTTTAAAGATCAATATGGGTAGATAAATATTAAATAAAACTAAAATAACACTTTTTAAGAAAAAAAAATTGGAGAATTCAATAAATATAATTATTATAATATGTTACCTTTGTAATTAATTGAACATTTTCCCTTTTTGTATGACAATAATTTCCTTCAATGACTGAGGGTTCACCTAAAAAAATAAAAAATAATTTAGTGATATTTATTGAAAATGTACTATATTTATTTATTAATGCACTTATTTAATCAATCAAACATGGAATGGTAAAAGTAAACAACTTTTTTCAACAATACCAGTTACTTAAAAATTACTTGTTAAATAATAAACATACTGAAAAAACTTAAGCTATGAATTAATGATCAAAATGGGTCATAATTACATAATACTATTATAATAAATTAGTAATAACAATATTATAATATTTACAAAATTAATGTATAGATTATGACTTTAAGAAACCATCAAAGTATATACTATTATTTAATAATAAAAAAAAATTATGTTAAGGTATAACTACATTGGAAGGTTGTTATATTTTAATTTTTTTTTTTATTGAAATTAAGCCCGGCGACTAAGGCCATTAGCTGTTGTAGGGGTTATGAACTGAGCAAGGGGTAAGGTTGGTATGGTAGGTTTTTGAGACTGTAGGGGTCATGCCCGGGTGGGGGGATGGTAGCCACTCTCTCCAGACACCGTGACTGCCCAGAGAGAAGTGCCGCCCGTGACCTAGGTTCGAACCGGCGACGGTGCGTTTTGCAATTGACGCGTTATCCACTCGGCCACTTCATCCTCCTTATATTTTAATATTTTATTATAAAAAATCCATCATAAGTAAAAAATTGAATCCACACACAGAAAATTAGACAAAGAAATAGTATAGAAAATAAGAAAATTCCAAATTTTTTTTTGAAATTATTAATGTTATAAACAATAAACATCAACAGATAAGTTTTATCAAACATTTATTTTATTATCTAATTACTGCAATACAATCAATTATAGTTAAATAATAAGACATTTTTAGTCCTAGGTCAATAAAATAATAAATATTATGCAATGCATTTATCTCATACTACATTTTAACCACGCATCAAAAATGCATTAATTATTTCAACTGATAACCTAATAAATATTAGAGTTAAGTACGTTAAAAAATAATACAACTAATTGAGTAGTATTATAGAAACCCAAGACATTTAAAAAATAATTTTACCGCAAATTTTGAATAAGACAAAATAGGAAGGTACCTACATAGGTATTTATACTAAATTGATTAACTATGTTTATATAGAATAATACCTAATAGTTTAATTACCATGTTCTCTATTCGGATTTAGTAATAAATTACTTAATAGTGTTTAACAGATTGTAAGAATAGCGTAGGTATGTACTCTTGATAAGAACAATTTAAACAATGTATTTTAATGTAAATTCAGAGCAACTTATTAGTAGTATAAATACTTTAGATCTATTAAACAAACAATTTAATTTTTATAAAGAAAGATGTGTTTAACTAGAACTAACAAATAAAAAACACTTAATGCATCATTAAATATAATTATTATGATATATTATACAATGGGCGATTAATAAAAACTTAGATTTTCTAAATAAAAATATACCATTACGATATTGTTTATAAATCACCTTCTTGAGAACTAATACCCAACCCACTGCCAAAACACTCAGTCACATTGAAATATCCTTGTCCTCTAACATACTGGTTAAGGCACTAAAGACAATGTTCATATGCCCCAAATATTAATTTCTATATTTTGTTTAATGTCAACAATTTTTATAAAACTACATCGTTTAAGCTTTGGTTTTAACTTGGAGACAAAAAACTGTGTGAAGTCAGGATATATGAGTAAGGTGATTGTGGAACTGTTAGGTTAGATTTACTACTGGAATAGATTTTTCATTACAAACTGATCAATGAACTGCGTGATGGGACATTATATTGACTGATCATTCAAGAATCACTTTTTCAACTTTCTGTTGTTTTTGCCAATATTTTTTAATCTTCTCATTAGATATTCTCATGCCTTCTGTTAATTCGCTAATAGATAATATATATTTCGAACAATCACACGACTAAATTTCATTCAAGAGGGTTGTTTATTATCTAGAACGGATGTTCAACTTTATTTATTTATTTTCCACACCTTTATTTAAGCTTCATTACAATTATTTATAGCCATATGGGTTATGTAATTATACTTATTAGTTATTTTTTATGAAATGTGTTCACAAAAATATGCATATGCAGTCTCGACGGTTTCAGTAGACCACATACAAGAAGGTTGAATAGATAAATTTAGAACCCTTTTTTTGCAAAATGTCAACTCATTGTAACAGTTTTGCTTAAAAGATTAACGAACAATGCAAATATCTAATGATTCCGCTCTCTCCAACTGAATATCATTAGACTAGGCAGTCTTCTTTTCTAGGTATTATACTTACATTATGTTTGTATTTTAACATTAGGCAACTGTTTAAGAACCTTTTTTAGTTGTATTTTTGGTCTAGTCCGTTCAGTTTATACAATAGAGAAATTAGAAATTAGATTTACACATGCATAAATAAATTCAAGTAACTACAATAATATGCTAATTAAGAACATTTATATCTTCTCTAGTTCATACTATACCTAATAATGCAGCAATTATTATTTTGGTCTCCATTAATTTAATTCTTTGATACATCAGATAACCAAAATACCTACTTATTTACATAGGTACCTAGGCATTAAAATTTAGTCAACAGTGAGTAATTCTATGAAAAAATTAAAATGTACTAGGTACCTACTTTAAATTATTATATTATTGGATAGAATATAGTTTTAGAATACACCAGTAGTTATTACAAGAATAACATGTGCACTGCAAAATATAAAAATCAATAATGTGGACCAACAGTATCGCGTGGTCAATCAATTTTCAGAATTAATATTTAATAACTATAGGTTCAATTAAGAACTGTTGATTTGAAATATAACAATATGGATATAGGTACCTACAGGTTAATATTTAATAAGAATCTACTACCTAGGTTAAAAAAAAACCGATACCTATCTATTCACACAACTTCATTGTTTGCACGTACCGTAAAAATGACACTAGGAAGTCGATCCGTGTATATGAATTTTGTAGGTACTAATAATTTTTCATTTCAGTGATACTGCTTACATTGTGTTCAAACAACGTTCGTCAGTATTTTTTACTTGGCCGTCGAGACATCTAAATGTTAACAGCCGTAATAAACGTTTAAGACGACGAAGCGGCGTTAAACAGCAAAATGTTCAATTTCGTATAATGGCAGCAGATGAGCACTGGCCACTGAGCAGACTGACACTTGTCAAAAGTAGATACAGTAAAAAAAATGACATGAGGTCACGAAACAACAGCAGACGGACAAAGCGTCGAAACCTCGAAACAGTCGAAACGCTGCCGGGTAGCCGCAGCCGATGAATTCAGCAGCGTCCATCTCGGTCTATCGGCCGGTCTTAAACAGTGCAGCCAACAGAGCCGGGAAAATACATTATTCTCTTTACACTACATTTTTAAATTTGTACAATATGAATTCAATTTTTCGAATAGAAATGTTTATGCAATAAAGAAAAACAAAGAAGTATGCAACAGTTCACGAGTAACGTCTGCTGTAAAATATTAACCAGCTCTTACAATCACACTTCACACAATATTAGTCTTTCTCACTTATCCGTAAGCTGGTCACTCTAGCCGGCGGAGGTAGATACTCATTACTCGGTAGTAACTAGTAAGTAGTTGTAGACAGTGTCAAGTGATGAAGATGGGCGGCGGCCGCGGCCCTTGAGCCCTTCGAAATATTAAAATGCATAATAAGTATGTTATGGTCTGACAGAATAATTTTTTTTTAAATCGGGTTAGTCTCGACGTGGTCTGCTAATAAATAGTTATATGGTCTAGTAATACATGGTATGGTCAGGGGTCAGTCGCCGGTAAGACTACATTGTGTCCTTCTTATGTTTTTTTGTAATGGAGGGGCATTGAACAATATCGATTGCAAAGTTTTAGTTAGTAAGTTTTTCAAATGGCCGATACTTGTTACTTATTTAAAAAATATGGTAAGGTACAACCATTGATTATAAATACTAGTATTTATAATCAATGGTACAACGAATCAAAAATTATTCATCAATTATCACAAAGAACATAACTACCATAATAGTTTCCACCAAGTTAAAATTTGTAATCGTACCTACCTATGGTATTATTAAACAATTAGTTATAGGGACATAATATTATTCATCTGTTTAGATGTCGGGTTTTTTTACGATATTTCAATTTTAATGCTATATTTATTAAAAATATAACAATCAATTTTCATAATATATTGCATAAAAATTAAAATATCTTAAAAAGACAACCGTAAATCTAAAAATCTATGAGACGAATGTTGTCACGAATACACAAAATTGTACAAAAAAATCGTAAACGCTGTCATGTAGCGTACGTGATCGGTTTTTCGGCAAGCGCTGAAAAGTAAAACACTACTCCGATAGATGACGCTGCCATTACCATCGTCTACAGACACTATCACACGCAAACCGTGTCACCGAGTCGGGCCTAGGAATCGATGGATGACAGTATAAAGCTGAGATTCTAATCTTTTTTGCACCCCAAGGTATTTTCTAAAAATCTGAAGTCACCCTATATAGAAAAACCTATATAGTAATTTAGTAGTATTTCTATAATAATGTGTCGTATTTTTTATTTTTTCATATTTTGTAACATCGGTTTTTTAGCTAAGTACCTAGGTAAGTATAATCAAAACTCAAAAGTAACTAGTATGTACACGTCATATAACAAATTATTGCATTTAAAATTAATTATACATTTATAAATTTAATATTATTATACAATATTATTTGATTATTATGGTTAATTAACAATTATGTACGAAATTAGGCACGGAACTAATATGACACTCAATTGAGCTTGTTTCGAGAAAACGACAATAACGGAATACACACAATGTTCATATGTTCATATACTTCTCATACACTGACACAGAATCATATTAAATGACTAGATACTACTCCAGAAACTTGAAGAATGGTTCATTACGTTCATATATGCAGTAGTTACTGAAATGGCTAACTGTATTTTAATTTTAGGTATTAAGAGGACGCCACATCCGCAAGTGTTCTCTGCGTACTTTAAACGTAAAACATAGCAAAAACTGTTTAGCGTGAAATAGAACCACTCACACTGTAGTCCAAACTGAGCAACCAAGTTTACATACCATTAAGAGGAGAACATTTACTGTGCTATATGGTTTTTAATTTTTCGATATCACAAATACAAGAAGGTTCTTATTGTTTATAAATTAATTATTTCAAACTTGAATAACTTTTCTTGTATTTGTGATATCGAAAAAATAAAAACGATGTTGTACATCAAATGTTCTCCTTTTAATGGTATGAACATGTGGTTGCTCAGTTTTGACTACAGCTTGAGTGGTTTTATTTCACGCAAAACAGTTTTTGCTATGTTGTACGTTTGTAAGACGGAGAAAATACATGCAGGTGTAGCGTCCTCTTAACAATGAAGGTTTAAAAGTGAAAACTCAACAGGCACTTAGACAACAAGATGCAGTGAAAGACTAATTGACACGAAATCGTACAATATTATTGTTAGAAACAATAAATTATGTAAATCACATTTTTCGACCTAGTTAGGTTTTTACCGGGTTTCTATACCGATTACTATACTGGTATAGCGAAAGAAAGTATATATTTTTAATCCTATCACAATATACAGGTATAATATTATTGAGTATATTAAAGTGTAAACAATTTATCAATATTGACATTGCAGCTGGTAACAATCACACGTTCACGCCAATGAATTATGCAACGAACGGGTCTATCGACGCTTTAAAATTGTATCTGAGTAATTCAAATCCAATCACCAGGACTTAAGATATCAATATCAATAATTATTAATTTAAATATATATGATGACATCCTAAGGTTAAACACTTTTATCATAATAATAAATTATTATTATATTTTTTAGTCGTTATCACGACTGTAAATTACATCCAGTTTTCTTGCATACGTCATACTACAGCTCGACAAGCCCATTGCCAGTTATTGGCATCCAACAAGAACCAATACGTAATTGTATTTCTAATGTCTTTTTAGGTATGATGCTTTGAAGTATTTCATTTTATTTTTGAATTGTTTGAATAAGATTTGTTAAAAAAAAATTTCATTTTATAAAATCAGTTGCTTACAAAACCCAATAACTATCAAATGACGTGTGATAATATTATTATGAACGTCAATTTCACGTTCTAGACGAACGTTCGCAGCGATCGGTAACCATAGGCTATTATTTATTTATTGCACATTCAATGCATTATCATCAAGTTTAATTATAACTTTATTGTTTACTTGAATTTACATGCCATAGGTTATTAATTATCTATCTTAATTCTATTTTAATTTAAAGTCTCACGGGAAACTTTGAAATACCAAGCTATTAAATTTAGATCATGTAATTAATATTTTTTCCTGATATTTGGTGGAGAGGTTTGAACCATCAACCCCCCTCCCCTACGTTTGCCCCGTGAAGTGGTAGAATGAAATAAAACATACTTGTATGTGTAATGTGTCACTTGCAATTAATATAAGACGTAGAGCACTCAGTAACTTGTAAGATCGTTATAGGTACCTACTACCTGCTGGCTGCTGTTAGTTAACATTGTTATGCACCTATATTGCCTATACGATAAGCCGTGTTAAACCATCTTTAGGGAACTAGTCTCAATGTTTTTTTTTATCTTGACTATGGCTAGAATAATGATGATTATTATTATTAATTAGAAAACAATGACAAAATATTGGATTGGTAAATGATTATGAAATATACCTACCAAAGTCCAAAAATGATAATTTTTTGATTGAATATTATTATTATAATAATATAGGTTCTATATTATTATACTGTATTTTATGTATGGTTTGTAAAATATAAAATAGTTCAAAATAGTTTGATAAATAATTATTAACAATTAAAATGTTGTAAAAATACAACGTGTATAAATATATTATAAATAGTATGATTGTAAACCCAATACGTTACTTTAAAATAAAATAAATGTAATATTTTATATTTTATTTCTTTATTTTATTAAATATTTATATATTTATGATTATTTACTGTTATTAAAATGTTAGATATGAATATAATATGAATGAAACTATAATCTTTTATAGTTACTATATATTATATAATAAGAAACAACAAAAATAAAATCACATAAAGAGGAAACAGTACAATGTTTAAATCTGGAATTATATTTTATTATATTATATTATATTTGTATATTTTCTAAATATTTATGACGAGTAAATAATTTGTAATTTTGTTGGTGACTTGTTCTCATTGCTAAGATTAAAATGTTAACCTTTGTCGTTTCCCGTATTATAATAGAGCATACTGCATAGTAACATATGTAATATGTATAACGTATTTTAAAATGCCACGACACTATACAATTCTTGACACAGTCTCGTCTTATCGTCAGCATTTTTTATAACATAATAACCACATAAAATATAAAATACAAGCTTTTTTTGATAATGTATTCCTGAAGTATAAAAAATAATTTCTCTTATAAAATGTAAAGATTTGAATTTTAAATCATCTTATTTGAATGGTTTTGTTTTAATTTATGCTTGACAATTAAAAAAAAAAAATGTTAAGCATAAATCTACATTGTTTTTTTATTGTTTTTCTCAAGACAATAGTACAGCATAATAAAATAGATAACAACATCCTTGATACGGTGACTGTAGTACACGTTTTTCCAGTGACCATTTTCAACTCTAGGGACCATACCTTGTCCATTGATATCCAATCCAATAACTTGTGCAACGGTAGCTTCCTTTTTGAAATTACATTACCAGTGTAGGCAGTAATACACTACAGTACCTAACTAGAAATGATTTAGAACAGACTCATTTCTACTTTAAAAAAAGGTTATTAAACCATAATATGGTACTTATACTGCAAACAGTTGATTTAAAAGTAGAAAAGTTACTGAAAACCCAAGATATATGTACACATTGTCGCATTGAAAGTGGTTTTTGTCAAATAACCATCGTAACCAACCTATAAATGTAATACCTACTGTACAAATTGTATAGGAACTAACTCAATAAATATTTCTATATCGATGTACTTTTGTATATTTATATTAAATCTTTGTAGTATATGCAATTATGGCTGCATTAGTAATATTACTGACTGGCTGTCTATTGTAAGTCTCATAAATCAAAATATTAATAGTTGTGGGATAATAATAGTAATAATAAACACGTAATATATTATTATATAATATCTATGTGGCTTTGGCTTAGAACTGTCGGAATTAAGGTAGGTACCTTATATGTCAGGTTAGGTATATGCTAGGTTCGTGCAGGTACTTTG